CTCTTACACCGTTATCTAACGTGCTTAATCAAGAATGATGAATCTTGTTTTCGCCATTTTGCATACGGCTCTTGCATCTTTTTGCCTTGCAGCATTGTTTACGATCTCTAGACGATCTTCCAGTACCACGAGAAATCCTCGTAAATTCTCGTGGCCGTAATCATATTGAATCATTCCTCCGCGTCCCGGATGTGTGGGTAGACACCAATATATTTCATAGATGGATACAACAAAAGAACGCCGTTTCCTCTCCGGAGAGACCTCTCGGAGAGATTAGTATGCTCGTATCTGCATGCCGCAAGATCGTATCTGCCACGAGCGCGGTCCTTTGGTGGGTTTTTGTTTGCGTTGCGTACGTATTTATGTGAGCACCCTTCCTCTTCTTTTCGGCCTCTCCTCCTCTTCTCCCATCTGTTTCTTCCTTTTCTTCTTCCTCTTTCTTTTCTTCTCTTCTCCCTCCATTCCTTCTTCTTCTTCTTCTTCTTCCCATACCATAATCGCGGGGGACGCTTCTACTTAGAGACGCTCCAAATGATTCGCTTCGACCAATCAATCTTTAGAAAGTTACTGTCACGAGGCAAGTCCCCGGAGAATTTCTTTTCTACGCCAAGTCACATTCAAATGTCCAAGTTTATTTCTGTTTCTGTGGAGGAAGAAATTTTACCAGATTTCTTATAAAAAGGATTTACCTTGTTTACTTTTGTTGAAATACTTTACGTATTTTAATATTTTTCCATTTTCGCAGGGGGATATTTATAAAAAATTATACTTATAGTAGAAAAATTGTTTGAAATAAAGATTGAACTATATAATTCAAGATTTTTTTTATGATTTTAAACTTGATTCAACACTTTGACTTTTGGCAGCGTGATATTCATTGCTTTGCGTTTGATTGGAATTCTTGAGCGCACTATATCAATATCACTGTCGAGTTAGAGGTATATGTCCATTATCTTGGTGTGGATCTGTAATCCCTTACTGTGTACCAATTACCTTGTCCATTCTACCTGCGTTGCATGCAAATTGGATTTCGGTCACGGAAGACGCAGAGGAAGACGCCGCGTCGGTCGTTTCCTCATGACGAGCCAAGATTTCGTCGTTACCGAAAGCAAATTAGTAGACCAGAGCACTCGAAAAGAGAGTTTTTCCGGCCGGTTGACCACCCCAAATAATCCGGCAAGAAAAAAAAGCGTAAAATCAATGTTAGGAAATGGCTCGTAGAACATTAGACATGCTTGGAATCCGTTCTTGAAAAAGTAACGGTGGCGCCAAACGGTCGACAATAGAGTATCACCGTTAAAGCCGGCGGCAATGAGCCCTTATGATAATCATTTTAAACACTATTCGATTCTCCAACCGCAGATAGAGATACCGATTTTACCTGACGAGAGGTGAACTCGCCGCCGGACGGAAGTGGTCCGAGAAGTGCGGCGAGACGAGAGACGAGACGAGACGAGACGAGACGAGACGAGACGATACTTGGTCGTGTGGCGATGCTAATCCGATTGCGCGACTCGCTCGTGCCAGTCCCCTTTTGAAACGTAACGACCGGCAAACTTTCCCTCCGTTACGCTTTTGTGGAAGTTACAGGATCAGTTCCTCCGACGACCGTTCGGATTGTTCGTGGCGCCGAGCTTCGGAATAGTCCCTTGCTGAACAGTTTACGAGATTTAACCGAGGAGATTTACGTACGACGCGGTATTAAATCTGCTCTCGAGGCGACTCTCTTCCGCCGTTTTATTTTTCATAATTGTTATCCGAGAGTTGAAAAATTGATACAAAACGAATTTTGTAGTGCCAAAGTGCCGAAGTTCTCCTCGCAGACGATGCGTTATTAATTACGAGCGAATCAGTACGCGTTCGCGTAAAGTGTGGGAAGCGTGGACGTTCGCTTCTCTGGTATCTGGCTGGGAAAGGAAAGGGAGCATTAAAGGAAGAGATGAAATTTTTTTTGCGGCAATTTCAGCGCGCGTCAATTAAATTACTGCGATGCGCGTCCGGGCCCTCAGGTTCGATCGAGTTATATAGGAAGCGCATCGCGCTTGAATGAGAATCTTTCCCACGCGAAACGTCTTTAGACATGGGTACCTCGTTCGAGATTGCATATTAACGCCTTCGTAATCCGCGTCTTCTTTCCGTAGAAATAAAATATTATTTTATAAAAACAGGGCGGAGGCATTCCTCTACGAAGAGTTTGCGAATATATTTCGAGATCAGCTGTGATACGAATGTCAGTATTAAAATGAGAAAGTCGATCGAGCAAGTCGTATCCAAAAAAAAAAAATTATAAAGCTCAGAGTATATATCATTTTCGATTTTCGAAATATTGTCTGCAAATTATACGTTGAAAAATCAAGTTCCAAGTGAGAAAGTAGATCGAGTAAATCTCGTAACTATAAAAAAAATTCATAGAGCTCAGAATATATATATTCATTATTTTCGAAATATCTGCAAATTTTTCACGTGAATAATTACACGTTAAAAGATCGAACTCCGAACCATGGAGCGATGATAACCGAAAAAATTTCAGCAAAATCGTGCAGTTTCGTGACATCCTGATATCCCTCGTTAGCTGACGGAAGACGAGAGTCAGAAAGCATTAGCATTCACGTATGGCACGCTTGTCGCTTTTTGGAAATACAACCTGGGAGGGCAGAGCCGTTAACGCGACCGACTCGTGAATGCAAAGGAACCGATTTGTAATAAGGGACGCGAGGAGGCACGAGGAGGAATCGAACGCCGAATCCCTCGGAAAGCAAAGTTCCCGCCGGAACTCCAGAATTCGTCACATTAATATGGCGCGCGTGAGTCACGCGAGTGCGTTGTTAGTCGGCGGGCGTTCAGTTTTCTGTCGGCGATCGAGATGACGACGGTGATAACGACGACGCATCGATGGCCAGGTACGGGTGACAATGATGACGCATAATAGGAGGGATCGGCCACGCCGTTTTCCTTTGTCGTTGTTACCAGGCGAGAGGCGCGATGAGAATCCCATTATTTATGTAGCGCGGGGTACGGGTTGACACAGAAATAGGCACCAGAAGTCGCATACGCATTCGCGTCGTTTAACGCAATTACCTCTGCTGCCGTGCAGGCGTGCGTGAAATTCCAATATCGTCCGTTGTTGCAACCATCCCCATTATCCCGAGTATCGCGCTTTCGCGTACGCGAAGCGGCATCGGACTTAATAAAATTTTATATGCAATTTAATCATAACATTACAGCGGATATCTTTGATAACCGCTGTAATGTTGTGCGGATATTCCGAAGACTTACGTAAAAAGAAAATTCGCGAATGGATTAAATGATGAAACATTTTATGCTTTTTAATTCCTAGATTGATTTTATGTACATATACATCTCCAGTTTAAAAAATAGTAAAATAAAAAGAATTATTATATTATTCACAGATGAAAAGCACTTTTTTTTTTAATTAAAATT